ATTTGCAACAAAATGCTCCTAAACATGTAGAATGTCTGAAAAGTACATGGATTTGAGCCAAACTAATAAGCCACCCTCTGGACTTAATTTAAATAATGGCACTCTTGCACAATTTACTAAACTTTTAATAAAGTTTCATTAACTACTCCAGCAACTTTAGTATATTTAAAGTCATGATCCCATATCAAGTTGCTTTAATTGCTGATTTTTAAAGACTCCATATTGATGGACTGCTCTTAAAATATGGGTGCGCATACTCACACAGCAGTCAACCAGATCACCAACTTGACTTTGAAGCCACAGAACTGGGAATCACAAGGGGAAAATGGCACTGATTCATCTAGAATAGCTGCCGGGCTTGCTCAGCCTAGTCCTCCTAATGATCTTGTCACTTATAATATGGAATATGCACTTAGCCGAATCAACCAGCCTTATGTTGCTTAGTACAGAAGTTACCTGAAAGTAGTTCTCCCAATGCTTGGAAGTGAGATCAGTTTCCATATAGCCCTAATTCCTAAACCAACCACACCTCTAGGCACCTTATCTGCTGAACAGCAGGGGCTGCTGTTGGAAAATAGAGGTGGAAGCCTATCACAACAGTTCTCTAATGACTTGGGACAACACTGACACCCCTGAGATACAGATCAAGAATGCTAACTCGCTTGGATGGTCCAGATGCTGATTTTAGCTGATCCATTGAAACCAGTGATGCTTCACTGCATAGTATAAACATCCAAAGCTTGGTCTGGCACATTATCAGAGGAGCTCCTCTCCAGTGACTTCTATTGACCTCCTTTCTGTGTACTTGCCTCACTTGTCTGTACCCCTCTACTCTTCAATCCAAGAAGATCGCATATCTCTTTTAAACCTTCTGCATTTCTTCTGATGTTCTTAATAATATATCCATTTTCCATTTTAAGAATAGCAACAGTTGCCCAGGGTCTCAAAAGTTATCATCCTAACATGAAGGGATTGAATATGTTAAACTAGCTCAAATGGTTGTCTAAAGCAGAGTTGTGCAGGTATCTCTCGCAATGTGTGTGTACTGTCTCAGCACCGAATCCCATAGGTTGGGGACCAACATTACTTCTAAGTTTGCTGCAAAGCAACTTCAGTTAAAGGCGGGGCTGTGTTTTGCTCTGTATAACTACTGTGTATGCAAGAGCAATTTTCTTCTTCCAAGACGAATTCTGCAAAACAAGCAGATTTGCAGGGTTTTCTCTAATTTACTTTCCACCCCACTTCTCTAAAACCAAAGCTTTTCTTGCTTGTTCTAGTCATGGAAGGAAGGCAATAATTAGCTATGCTAGGAATTTAACTCCAAATCTTAACCAAGGAAAACTCTGTCCAACTCTTTGACTTCTTAGATTTTACTAAACACCACATGATTTTGCAAGGTCATCCAGGTCTGAAAAAAAATTATCTGCCTGCCTTCCTTCCTTTCCCTCCCCCTTTCAAGTGAAAGTCAAGATGCTCAAGATACTGAATTCAGAGCTAATATCAAATTCCATGCAAGATGCCATTGTGGAAGACTGGGCTTGCTGAGCTCAAGTAATCTTTATACTTATATTTACTAAAGTGTTACATGTGTATGTGGCTAAATATCATGTTTGTTTCTTTACAGGGACTTTATTTATCTATTTTAAAGCTTTAAGGAAATCAAAAGCTCCTAAAGCAGTGTCCTTTACACTGTTCAACACAAAAGTTTGCTAGAACAGATACATGTGAACCCAGCTGTGATACCATTTTGTTAATCCCGCCACTTCAGAAATGCATCATCCTATCTGCTGCAGACAAAACTGAGGCATCACATTATCTTGAGATGGCTATCAACATGCAAGATTTCTCCTTAACCACACTAGCACAACATTTCAGCCTTGGCTTCTCTGCTCTGCCCGTTTTCTACAGATATTTTACGAAACTTCTTTTTATAAAATTATAAAATTTTAAAAAAATTATGAAACTTGTTCATTGCATATATACAAAGCAAAACAGCCTGGTTGTTCACCTGTGATTCTTAAGAGTCTGGGAGGCTTCTATACATGAGGAAACTTTGGAGGGACCCCTCCCTCCGCTCACATCTAGTGCTTATGTCTGAAGCAGGTTCTCATTTATTCCCTCAAGATCAGAAGAAATCTATGGTGCCAATGAACAGCACCAACTACTGGAGGTGGGTGGTGTCATCAGTGGAAGACAGAAGGAAGAACTGCATGGTCAAAAGAGCAATGTGTTCTGGCTCAGGCACTTAGAGGGCAGTGCTTGACAAAAGCGGACAGAGTCAACCAGTTCACAGCCCAGCACAACTCAGGTGTGGTGACCCTTGTGCAAATGCAACAGATGTGCTAACACTCCTAGTAAAGTGTGCACTGATTGGACCGGTTAGGTTTAATATCTCCATTTCATAAGGTATGGTCCAAGCCATCCATTTGGCAAAATGCTGCAAAACTGGCAGTCCATTGCCTTTTTCTGTGTAGCAGACAAAAGGATGGTCGGAAAGGTGAAATAATTCTTTCCATGCTTTAAAAATGGCCAGGGCCAGAAAAAAATCAAAGCACACACAGTACTCTCCATTGAAGTAGGAAATGTGAAGAATGCAGGGAAAGCAATATCCTTTCAGGTGGAAACCAGAAATGACTTCTGGGATGAATGTGGCATCTGGACACGACACCACCTTGCCCCAGTGAAAAATGACAGGACATCCACTCATCAGATGCACAGTTCAGAGGCCCTGGGAACCAATGTAATGGCTGTGAGAAATGCCATCTTTCAAGAGAGATGATACAAGGCAGAACTCAACAGTTCTGCCATCAGAGCTTTCAAACTACGGAAAGGTTCCAGGATAAAATGGGATGTTGAAGTGCAGATGTTGGGTTGTGGATTCCCTGATGTAGGTTGAGGATAGTCCAAGCTGACATTTATCAGCTGTCTCCCCTTTTTTCTGATATGATCACAACCAGATAGGTAGCATCAGAGATCACATGACCAGAGAAGGAAATCATATAGATGGTTTTGCTGGCAAAGAAGGAGCTGACATTGGGTCTTTTTTTCTCTTTCCACTTTTTTGGCAGGACTCACTATCTTTGCCAATTTCTTAGTTGTTCTGTGTGTCAGCAATCCACCTGTTTAGAGGATCAGTACAGCCTGAACTGGAATGCACAGTCACCTCCGCAAGAGGAGGACTATCGGAGAGATGGACTTATGCCATGGACTTTTTGGCACCTCCACAGCCTGAAGGTGTTTTTTCCTAAAGCTTAGAGCCAACTGGCATAATTCTGCTTGGCCTGTTTTGTGAAGGCCTGGCAGTGTGGCTGAGCATCAACAATATGTGGGTCTCCACACAAAGAAGGGCTGTCCATTGGAGGAACCGTGCCGCCACGCATAATGCGTTCGTGAAAGGGGGCCTGCAGAGCCACAAGAGTTCTTCATGACCAACACAATTTTCCATGGTAAGAAAGAGAATAACAAAAGCAAAAATAGAATAAAGAAACATGTATAGATTGAAACACAAAAGAAGAGAAATTGTTGTTGAATAAAATAGGGGGGAGGAAACGCTTAGCATAAAAGCTACTGTTGTCTCATGAGATGGGAAGCTGAACCCATGACAGACATGTGCATTAGACAGTGGGGGAAAGGTTGCAACCAAAAAATCTACAGCTACAGAAGCTTCCTGAACAGGAGCAGAAACCTCAAGTGTGATGCACTGAGGTCACGAAGAAGTATAAACTACAACTACCAATCTTCTGGACACCATCAGTATGTACCATACTGTGTTTTAAAACAGTTATGGATCAATAGGTAAATAACAGAAGGCTAAATAGCCTGGCATAGAATCTAGGGAAACAGTTTCTATGGCTGTCGATTCCACAAACCAAATAAATGTGGAGCATCAACACTGCCACATGCCTCAACGGTGTGTGTCTTAGGACAGTAAATATGCTTTATTCATTGATCGATTGAAGAGATAAGCTATACTCATCAACTTCTATTTAGATGAATTTTTTTTGCATTGTTACAGTGATTAAAAGAAGAGTTCAACAAGTTTTTCTTGTAATCCATCCTGAGACGTCAGCAGAACTACAGTCTACAAAAGCTTTAAATAAATAAATAAGTGAGTAAATAAATAGATAAGTTTTCCCAGATGCCAACACTGGGTACAAGTTATCATATTTTATAATAGAACTAAGCAATAACAGAAAATTCACAAAGGATAATCTTCATTCTGACTGGAATACTGAAGAGTTATTTTCTAGGCATGGAAAAAATTGCTTCAATAAACATATTTGCACCAGAAACCTACTGCACATCAACTGCAGACATACAAAAACATTGAGTACTTCAATATCCCAAACTCTAAAACAGCAACACAGCTATTTGAATAAAGGTTTGTTTTCCCAGTAGCTCCCCTAGATTTACTGAGGCGATCCAGTTATGGAGTTCAAGTTAGTCTAAGGAGTCATCTGTAAGCTTTAACTTATGAGAAGAAAACTGCTGGCTCACCACTTCAGCCCACCAGTTAGCTCAAAACTCCTTCTGAAATATTAGTAATATGGCCATAATGTTTCTACAGTCTTCAACTAACAGCTTAACCATCCTTTTACCAACCTGACCAGGACGTCTCCAATTATATTATATTGTTTTATATTGTTATTATTTATTTATTGTAAGCCGCCCCGAGGCCTCGGCAAATGGGGTGGCATAGAAGCTTTCTAAATAAATAAATAAATAATTTACTGGCTAACCAGAATGAAAATAAACACACTACGCATGCAAAATACACAAAAATTCAGGCATATGCATACAAATGAACCTGCAGTTCCAGAATAAATATTATTGCAACTAATTTACTACTTGCTCAGAAGTTTATTTCTCTTATTTAAACTCCATACTTCTCTCACACCACAACATAAACAGTAGAAAATGAGTGAGAAAGGCAAGGAAATAAAATATATACCTCACACAGTGCTTCATAAAGAGTGGAGAGCAAGAATCATAAAGCTTACCTGGCAACAGATTTGTACAAGGTAGACGAGTTCCTTGGATTCACAGCCATTCCTTGTTACGTCATTCTGTTCTTCTGGGAGCGAAAGCTACTCCAATAAACAGGTGGGGAGGAGAGAGGAAGAGGCCAAATTAGTGAACTGGGATAAACCAGGCACACAAAAGCAGGATATCCAAATCCAGCTCTGCATATCAAGGAATCTTAGTGTCTGTTATATAAAACTCTTGCGAAGGAGTATAATAACCAATAAGGAAATCACAGGTATCATTGACTCCAAAGCTAAAGATTAAACCTGTAGGAGAGTATTGAATGCGCCGGTGGCCATATCAGAAATGAGTGTTGCCACATTGGGGAGCTAACAAGGCTGGTGCAACAAAGCTCATGGAAAGGATTGCGCTAGGTTCAGATAGGGAATCCTGCATTTTACAATAGCAGCAGCAACACCTTCCTGTATATGGGATGACAGATGTCAAGGCGAAGTCATTCTCCTGACATGCTAATTTACTATGTGTGCAAAGTCTTCCAGTCCTCCCTTCACCCTGTGTAGATCTGATTCCATCATGCAATCCCACACCTTCAATATGAAATGGAAATGGCATAAACTGTGTCTACACAGTTGCTTGCTTTTAAGTAAATATTCTAGAAGATCATAAAACAAAGGTGTGGCATTTGTGAATGGTACCATTCATTTCCTCATCCAGGTCTGCATGCCAGCAGCTAGTTTAGCACAGTTTATATATAAAAAGGACTAAAAGAGCCTTAGGAATGAGAACTAGAGAGAATGGTTTATAGGCAAGAAGAACTAGAAGGTGTGGTTAGTGGTCCGGGAAGACATACTGGGGGGAACTGCCCAGCTGTCTCTGGCCTGAGATATTATAACATCCTCTAATGATGTTCGTCTTCTCAGCTTTCCAACCAATCTCCTACATGCTAGGACAGAAATATACAACAGGAAAAAACCAGAAATTTATCATTCCTTTCAATATTATTCAATGCATTTAATTGTCAAGGGAAAAAAGGAAAATCTGATATTTAAAAGAATAAAATAAGACAATAGTTGACACTCTTCAATAGTTGACACTCCATTTAAAGCAGAGCATGAACCTTGATTTGATGTTCACTTCTCACTCACAGTTTCTATAGCACAAAAGCATAGAAAAATCATATAATATAGTGACTATGCAATTCTCTATATAGTAAACCTCATTACGTTCAAGGCCTTACTTCAGGTGAGAGTGTATAGGATTATAGGCTAAATAAAAAGGGAGTGACTACATCTCAATCTACCAGGCATAATTTTCTGAACATTAATTAGTTGAGTATATATACTTTCATAAGGTAATCACACACACACACACACACACACACACACACACGAGAGCTAAGAACACCTTTGATTTTGGATTATTTTAATAAATATTAAACAGAAATTCAGTGCACATGCAGCTCAAACATAAGGAAATTTTCAAATACTCTGAGTTTGGAAGATCTGTTTAAAAACAAAACTGTTCCATTATGCGTATGAAAAATATAGATGGTTTCCCAATTCAGGCATGATCTTTAAGGGCTGAAAACATAATTAGATTATTGCACTGTGTGGAATGCAAATGTATCGGAAATACATTAGATGCCCTAGTATTGATTAGCCAAGATTGCAAGTATAAGTTCTAGAAAGTTTTAAGACAATTGAAAACATACTGTATGCTGGGGGTGGAAGAATTGCTGGCGGCAGGTGGATTGTGTTCAGAAAATGGTAATTTAATTTTCTCTTCTTGAATTCACAACAGCGTCATGTGAAATAATTCCTAACCAAACATCTAGAAAAGATTGATAAACGAAAGAAAAATTATCTAAACACACAAGACAATCAGGAGCTGCTTGACTTGAACCAGGGACATCTTGTTCCCTGCATAGCTGTCCCATGTGGTGAGCCACAAAACTGCAGATTGGCGCACTGGCCAAGGTAATTAAGCACCCTCAGACCCTGGACTAGCCACTGGATCCAACTGTACAAGAAAGACTATAAGAGTAAGAAGGCCTTCCCAAACGCCAATACATTTCCATGTATTCTCTGGTCTCGACTCTGGCTTGTTTTTCAGTCCCAGCACCTGGTTTGTCCTTTGCTCCTAATTTCTGGATTCTGGTGCCTCTGAACGTGGATGCTACTGGTCCTTGCTTCTCTATAGCTCTGTATAACTCTGGACAATTTCTGCATCCCTGACTCACAGTCACATCTCCTGGCTTATCTCCAACCGCTGCTTACAGTTTAGACCTGTCAACAACTAAAGTATCAACCACAAATCCATTCCTATTTGTCCTCTATAAACATGCATTGCTAGCAGAAACATACAGCCAAACTAGAAGTGAGTGGAAAGACTGACACTGTACCTGGCTATGAACATGCCATTGTATCATGGAAACCAGAAGTGTTTTAAGTTTTCCAAAATGCAAGAATATAAGCTTGCTATTTGGCAAGGCACGGAAACATTTAGAGCAGGCACTGAGGCTGCCTATAATCAAACAACAAAATGTCATGACATTTGGAAAGTATTGTTGTTTCTACATTTTGTCAGTGCTGGGAAAGAAAAAAAAGTTTATTCATTAATTTTTTAATCCTTCAATCCTTTACTGATTAATGTTTTCATTCATTAAGATATCCTATCCTCTTCCTCAGCCAATTACATTTCCAAAAATCCCATTGAAGGATGAGTTAACAACAGGGTGGATAAAATCAATGATTTTTTTTTAAGAATCCAAAATGTCACATTTTTTAATTTAAATTGGATTTTTAAATAAAATGGTTTTTGGAGAAAAATTTGTCTAAAGATAGTTTTCTATTTGAGATACATTATAATCCAAAGGTTATTCATCATGAGAGAAGGATTCATTATTAGTTATGCTGCATGAGGCTGTATATTCATGCAATGTTTACATTTCTGGGTAAATAAATTCCATTAAACCATTCACAATGTCTTGCTCTTCCAGAGGTTTCTGTAAGATTATTGGACATTTTTTTCTATCTAGAAGATAATATTCATGGATGCTTGCTTTTACAATTCTCAAAGCTGTGAATTTGTGACTACAGAGATCACATGACTCTTCTTTACAGTAAAAATGTTATAAAATAAACATACAGTAAATTGATTTTACTTCTATAGGATCAGCCTGTTGAGGGATTGGCATGCCATACATACATACATTTTTAAAATGTTTCCACATAAAAAGCCGCTCAAGTACACATACACTGCTATGACTTGAGACAGATTATCATATCCAATAATAAGCACAATGTATTTCCAAATATTATATATTATATATTCCATATATCACATATTCTGGTATCTACACAACAGTTTCGATGTTTATTCCAGCAGCTGCAGATGGCACTGAGCCTTCTACTGTGCCCAGGGTTTCCTTGATTGCAGCAAAAGTATTTAGAACAAATATTAATCAGACTTGCATGGAGCAGCATTCCACTGATTAATGTGATTAATGAGAGCCATGACAGTTACATTCATAGATATATGCCTAAGCATAGCCTAAACGCATGCAAATATATTTATTATGCAGACATGCTTGTACAGTAGAAGAAATTAGCTAGAGTTCCCTACAGATTCAACGCCATATACAAAAAATGACTTCAGCATCAGTCATGGAACTCAACATTGACATCAAGGTGGGGATAGTGCTTGAGTTAGGTGAATGCACAGATGCCACTCAAGGAACTATAACTTACAGGTAAACAGGTGATCACTGTGCATCACACACGTAGGCAAGTAATCGTAGAATCATAAAATAAAAGAGATGGAAGGGGCCAAGAAGGCCATCAGGTCCAACCCCCTGCTCAATGCAGGACTCCAGGTTAAACTTCCCTTCTCAGATGGCTGGCCAGCTGTATTCTGAATGCCTCTGGTGTGGGAGAGCCTCTGGTGTGGTTCCATTGTTGTATTGCTCTAACATTCAGAAAGTCTTCCTGTGATATGAGCCCATTATACTATGTCCTGGACTCTGATCAAGAAGAGATCCTGGTGTTCCTCTGTGTGACAACCTTTCAAGTGTGCTATCATACCTTGCCTAACTCTTTTCTTCCCAAGGCTAAGCATGTCCAATTCTTTCAATCTCTTCTCATAAGACTTTGTTTCCAATCCCTAGGTAAACCTCGTTGCCCTCCTCTGAACCCTTTCCAGTTTGCCTGCATCTTTCAAACTATGGTGCCCAGAACTGGGTGAAGTACTCCAGATGAGTAGAGTGCTGAGTAGAGAGGAACCAGTACTTCACATGATTTGGAAGTGATACTTCTATTAATGCAGCATAAAAGAAGCTGGCTGACTTATCAGAAATAGAAACACAGAAACAGAGTGAGTCTGACCCCCAGCCCCAGCTGGCTCTGCTCATGACATGCCTACCATGTGCATGCCCAGCCTGTCCTTGAACACTCTCACCGCTGGGGCTTCAACCACTTCCCATGGAAACCTATTCCATACCCTCGGGGTCCTGTCAGGGAGTACTTCCTGGCATCCAAATTGAACCTTGGTTTCTTGAGCTTTGCTCCATTAGAACGCATCCTGCCCTCCTCCATGGGGGAAAACAGGTCTCTAGCCCTCTCTATATGACACCCCCTCACGTACCTATATGTCGCCAACAGATCCCCTCAGAGTCTGCTCTTCACCAGGCTGAAAAGACCCAGTTCCCTCTGTCTCAGCACATATGGCTTTCCCTGCAAGCTGGCCACCATCTGTGTGGCCCTACACTTATTTACTTACACATATTTATAGGCCACCTATAACTGTCAAGGCCTTCCTGCACCAATTCTAACCTGGCTATATCCTTCCTGTAAGGTGGAGCCCAGAACTGAGCACAATACTCCAGTTGCAGGCACACCAGAGTCATATAGAGTGGTAGTAATACCTCTCTTGATCTAGAAGCCACACTTCTGGCTATGCAACCAAGGATGGCGTTCGTCCTCTTGACCACCACATCGCACTGCTGACTCATGTTTAGCCTGTAGTCAACTAGCACTCCAAGGTCCCTTTCACAAGTGCTGCTCTCCAGCCACTTGTCCCCTAACCTGTACTTATGACACCCATT